TGTGTTTGTGTGTTCAGTGTGTGTTCAGTGTGTGTTTGGTGTGTGTGTGTGTGTGTGTTTGTGTGTGTTTGGTGTGTGTTCAGTGTGTATTTGGTGTGTGTTCAGTGTGTATTTGGTGTGTGTTCAGTGTGTTTGTGTGTGTTTGGTGTGTGTTCAGTGTGTATTTGGTGTGTGTTCAGTGTGTATTTGGTGTGTGTTCAGTGTGTTTGTGTGTGTTTGGTGTGTGTTCAGTGTGTATTTGGTGTGTGTTCAGTGTGTATTTGGTGTGTGTTCAGTGTGTGTTCGGTGTGTGTTCAGTGTGTGTTTGGTGTGTGTTCAGTGTGTGTTCGGTGTGTGTTCAGTGTGTGTTTGGTGTGTGTTCAGTGTGTTTGGTGTGTGTTCAGTGTGTATTTGGTGTGTGTTCAGTGTGTGTTTGGTGTGTTCAGTGTGTGTTTGGTGTATTCAGTGTGTGTTTGGTGTGTGTTCAGTGTGTTTGGTGTGTGTTCAGTGTGTATTTGGTGTGTGTTCAGTGTGTGTTTGGTGTGTTCAGTGTGTGTTTGGTGTATTCAGTGTGTGTTTGGTGTGTGTTCAGTGTGTGTTTGGTGTGTTCAGTGTGTGTTTGGTGTATTCAGTGTGTGTTTGGTGTGTGTTCAGTGTGTGTTTGGTGTGTTCAGTGTGTGTTCGGTGTGTGTTCGGTGTGTGTTCAGTGTGTGTTTGTGTGTGTGTTTGTGTGTGTTTGTGTGTGTTTGGTGTGTAGATCAGACTATTTATTAGCCCAGATGATTTTTTATTATTGTTTATTTCTTGGTGAGAATAAATTCATGTAAAGCTGCTAAAAACACAATAAAACCAATGAACTCTGACTMTAAATGATTTGGTTCTTTTTGTTTGTAAACATCCATAAACTCCAGTTCTGTTAGTAAAATATCTCAGAATCTCTTCTACATCTGTCATTTAGGAAGCGTTTCTTCCCTCAAAGCTTCTTCTGTTCAGGTGACATCAGACACACATCAGGATTATTCCTATAAACAACAAACTGTCAGAGTTTAATCCAGAGGGAGGACAAAGAGTTGTGTCCAGTTCCCTCACCTCCACCTCCCTGAGGACAAAAGGCCCGAGGACGTCTCAGCTGAGGGGGGACGACCTCCTGCAGCTCCTCCTCACACATTCCTCCTGTTTAACCAGTAAAACATTCAGGTTTTGTTATTTTAGTCTGTTTGAACATCAGTGTGACTTCCCTCCATCACTGCTCTCCAAACAAGGTTAATAGTTCTGGACTTTTCATTATACTTTAGTTTTACTTTTTGTTGTGACTGTTTTCTTTTAATTCAGTTTTAATTAGTTTTTACAGTGGATTTGCTAGTTTTTATTAGTTATTGTTTGTTTAATGCTTAGTTTAGTTTAGTTTTTATTAGTTCTAGTATTAGTTTTTTATAGTTTATTTGCATCCTCAAGTTTGTGACGTTCCTGAAAGTTAACTAACCAATTTGGTCACTAGTTAAAGCGTCCATTATAGMGACACCTTCCTAAAATAATTGTATAACTCAATTTTGCCAACTAAAAACTTGGGTGATAATTTTAGGAYGATAGTTGTCTCCAACCTGCTGCTACCTGTTGTTTGTCCTGATGCATCTCAGTAATCCAGGTAGAAAAAAATCAAAAAGAAACTAGACATGGGTTTTTACGATGTAAAAACAAGTGTGCATTGCYATGTAGCATGTCATTGCAGCATGGCTTTGCCTGCAGCATTGGACTTGCAGAATGAAC